CCTACCTCCCTTCCTTCCTTCCTTCCTTCCTTCCTTCCTTCCTTCCTTCCTTCCTTCCTTCCGTCCTTCCTTCAAGAAGGGTCTCTCATGTAGCTCTGGTTGTCTTGGAACTTCTTATGTAGAGCAGGCTGGTTTTGAACTCACAAAGATCTGTCTGGCTCTGCCTCCTGAGTGTTGGGATTAAAGGTGTGCACCACCACCGCCTGGCTTCTAAAAGACCCTTTTAAAGCATCTTCAGTGTCTGTGGTTGCCCACAGTATAGACAGCCTTCCTGATGTGGTTGTTCAGGTGAAGGGTGGCCTCCTCCTGCCTCCAGGGAACTGCTAAATATTGTTCCCCCCAAACCTTACTTTGGTGTAGTTTTCTGGTCTTTGAAGCAAAATACTTGGTTTTCTTTTTTCCCTTTTCACTGTATTTTACAGACATGCCAAAATTTAATTAGTAAGTACAGTTACAATCCGTGTCTATATTAAAAGGTGTATAAATACAGAGACATGTTAAGTATATATGTAACGAGTGCATGTATATATCATAGGAGCTATTCATTATCACAGAAGGTTGCATGAGGTAAGCTCTTCTATGAGACGTATTGTCTGTCTGCATAATAACGTACACTTATCTACACTCACGGCCTCATCTGCTAAGTGGGCTGAACTTTAATGGAAGGTCATTGCCTTTGTAAAGGCTTCGGTCTAGGCTTAACTCTGAAGACATAAAAAGTGAGTCTGTGAGAACAGAGGCCCTTCCCCCAGGACACTAAGCGTTAGAACATAAGGAATCTCGATGTTTGGTAAGTTAACCAGCCTAGAGGAAAAAGAATTAGCATCTGTGTGTACCAAGCACTTGATGTACGTTACATCATGTCATCCCCTGAACCTCCACAGTGTCGGCGATGATCTTATCGGTGAGAAAATGGAGCATTAGGAAGGTTGTTTGCCTGAGCTAGAAAGCCTGCGAGCCCCTCTCAGGCCAGGCGCCCCCCCCCCCCAGGCGTCCGGGCAACAGTGTGTGCTCGGGCTACAGTGTGTGCTCGGGCTTTCACTAGCTGCCCTGTGCTTTCTTCCATCAGAGACTGTTCTGCAGGCCGACTGCTCGCCCTCACAGTAGAGGAACAAAACTGGGGCCGCTCCTCCTGGAGTTCACTGTCTTTTTCTCTCTTTCTCTTTCTCTTTCTTTTTCTTTTTTTTTAATTTTCTTTTTTTAAAATTTTTTTTTATTTTTTTTTTCTCTTTCTTTTTCTATCTGATCACTCCTGTAGCCATGAGAATAACATTTGGCTTTCTGTGATTTGTGCTCACTGTTACTGTTGTTTGTTTTAAGGGTTACAAGTGTGTAGTTGTGCGTGAGTTGATTCTAAACCAATTAGAAAGGAAGTGTCTGCCAGTACAACCGATAGGAGGGCAATGAAGTTCTTCCTAGCGGGTAACATCATACTTTTAATGTGTTATTTTCCGTTTCCAAATATTTTGGTCCTGCGTGATCCACAATCAAGGATTTCAGTATCTTGAGGATGGGTGGTGGTAGCCGTAGAAACAAGTTCAGGGTAGCAGCTAAGGTTGTCTGAGGGGGGTGTGCCTAGGTCTCCAAGTGCTTTCATTGATTTAGATGTTTTCATCTTCTCGAAAACCCTAGGAGCCAGTTTATATATAGATGGGAAAAACCAAGATGAAGAAAAGGTGGGAAATTATTCACAGCTAGGATGCTGCAGTGTCTTGGCAGTATCTTGTCTCAGTTACTGAGAACTTGTGTTGTTACTGGGTTAATTAATGTGCTCTCTCCTTCCTCGGTAGGGGGACTCCTACTCTCTGGGGGTGGAGTTACACGTTATCGTCAGTACGGGAATAACTAAGCTCATAACTTAGTTGGGTTATATGTAAGTCACTTGAATTACTGAGGCATCATTAAACTAATCAGGTCTGACTATTGTAAGACCATTTATAATTCTGAAAATAAGGCTATGGAAAGATGCTCGTGGTAGTTTAGCTTTGGGTTTTCTGTGACGTGTGTCTGAGAGGAGCACTTTAAAAGAATAAGTCGTCATGGGTCACAGGGGTTTCAGGACATGGTAAAGGGTTCCATGTTTCTGGGCCTGTGGGAGGCTGACGCCATGGCAGACGGGCATGTTGGAGCAGGGAGGTTAGGGAGAAGTAGGAGTGTGTCTCTCTTCCAGCGAGCATCCCTCCATCCAAGCATGTACCAGCTTTCATAATTCCTACACCTCCAGATGGTCAATGAGATGATCACTTCGTTGATGAAGGGAGAGCCCCCGTGATCTAGTCTTTTCTCGGAAGCTTCACCTCTGAAAACAAGCCTCTAACACACGAGCCTGTTTAGGGGGTGTGCTTTGTATCCGTCATAATAGTGCTTCTGTTCACTCTGCAGAATGGCGTTGAAACAGACAGCGTTCTGTCTAGCTAGCTAGGGAAATAGCATTGTTTTAAGTGACAACAGGGAAGGGACTTTTGAAAGGCTTGGCTGGTGTGTTGTTCCCCAAGGCAAACGTCTTTCTTTTCATCAAGTAATATTGGATTTTAAAATTGTATTTTCAGCAAGCACATTGGAATGAATACAAATAATATTCTTATAAGGTTGGGCAAATATTATTGGCTGAGAATGATACTAATATGCTTTAGTGACTGACTTTAATGGGGTTTCTGTTGCTGTGAAGAGACACCATGACCGCAGCAATTCTTATAAAGGAAAAACACATTTGGGATGGCTTCATTTTTCAAAGGTTCAGTCCATTATTGTCATGGTGCGAGATGGTGACATGCAGGCAGACATGGTGCTGGAGAAGGAACCGAGAGTCCTACATCTTGACTTGTGACAGGAAGTGGTCCGAGACACTGGGTGTGACTTGAGCATATATGGGACCGCAAAGCCTGCTCCCACAGTGCCACACTTTTTCCAGTAGAGCCACACCTGTTCCAACAAAGCCACACCTCCTAAGAATGCCGCTCCTTATGTGCTTGTGGGGTCTAGTTACGATTAAACTACCACAATGACTTTTTGTCAAACTTGGTAATCTCCCTTTTCTTTTCTTTTCTTTTTTTATTTTCCTTTTTAAAGCTTCTCACCAAAGGACATGGAAGAAAATGAAAACAGCCAGTCTCCAACAACAAGCTACCAATATCCCAAAGAAACAGTAAGGAAGCGCCAAAATTCAGTACGGAATTCAGGAGGAAGTGTGTCTTCTCAGATTTCCAGGAAAAGCTTCAAACTGGACTATAGACTAGAAGAAGATGTCACTAAGTCGAAGAAAGGAAAAGATGGGAGATTCGTTAATCCGTGGCCAACGTGGAAAAACATCTCTTTTCCAGACGTCCTTCGGTGGCTGATAATGGAGAAAGACCACAGCAGTGTCCCGGGCTCCAAAGAGGTAGGCAGATGGATCTGTTTCTGAATGCTTTGTGTATCTGTTAAATACACACACACACACACACACACACACACACACACATACACACACACACACACAGACACACACATAAAACTTATGTTTTTCTGTGAGGCATGGTCCTCTATTTATCTATTTGTGCTGTTTTTTATACAGTGAAACGTAATGTAAGTTAGAAGAGAAAAATGAATCCTATGACCCCTGTCCTCAAGTTCCTGGTTTAGCAGTACAGGACGTGTGTCAATAGTCCCTTCCTGTCCGTAGCCAGAGGCTGGGGTGAAGTGCTGTAGAAACAGAGGAGTAGATAGACGTGGTCCATTCTGACTGGAAGGGGCCGTCAGGAGCGTGTGTGCTGGACCTTCCTAGAAAGCCATTCTGCAGTGGTTTTCTAGGTCAGACGGTCACGTGACCACACCATGAAGGGGAGCAGTGCGTGGTGTGCTCCAGAGAGTAACAGCTGGTAAGGAATTGGGATGTGGAGTCTAGAAAGCAAGACGTGACCTACAGCGCATCTTTACTGTTGGACTCAGCCACTGCTGCTGTGAAGAGCTCCTTTGCTGTCCTTTGCAGAGCTGCAAAGGCTGACCATAGTTTATTAGCGCCAACTGCAGCAGCTTCACTTCGGAAGAGCAAGACGTGCTGGGGCAGGGTTGGATGAGAGGTGATGGCTCCCTTATGGTGGCATCTTCTCTTCCTGGCTGGCTTTTGGGGAGCTGGTGGCAGGGTTCTGACTTTGTGAGCAGAGGGATGATATGGAAAGACTGGGTCGTTCCTGCAGGCTTCGGTCTACGTGGGAAGAGGTAAGGCCTGTGCTGGTAGAGGTAGATTTGGTGACAGATTTACTTGGTAAACGTTGCCCGCCTTCCATTAAAGGGTATAGGATTGAACGTCTTACATCATGCCAGGTGTGGTAGTGTACACCTTTAATCCCAGTACTGAGGTGGCAGTGGTACTGGATCTCTGTGAGTTCAAGGCCAACTTGATCTACATAGTGAGTCCTGGGATATCTGGGGCTACACAGTAAGACCCAGTCTCAAAAAAAGGGGGTGGGGGTGGGGCTGGAGAGGTGGCTGAGAGGTCAAGAGCACTGGCTGCTCTTCCAGAGGTCGTGAATTCAATTTCCAGCCACCACATGGTGGCTCACAACCACCTGTAATGAGATCTGGCGCCCTCTTCTGGCGTGTGGGCATACATGGAGGCAGAATGTTGTATACATAATAAATAAATAAATAAATAAATAGGGGGGTGGGGAATAAACTTTTCTCATTTTAAAACTAGAAATATTCATAGTAATCTCTATATAGTGTATCTATAATGTGTGTGTATATATATGCATTTATATACACATATATGCATATATTTGCTGTGCTCAAGATTAAATTTAGAGCCCATTAAACTGTTTTGTTTTTTGAAACAGGGTTTCCCAGTAGCTATTAAACCAGTCCTAGAACTCATTTGGTAGAACAGGCTGACTTCAAACACACAGAGATCTGCCTGCCTCTGCCAAGTGCTGGGATTAAAGGCGTGCCCCACTACTGCCCAGCCAGGTCAGTGGTTTTTAAGGGAATAGTTGTCCCTTCTGAAAAACTAATAAAATCTGTAGAGGAATACATACATGTAAATAAGCACCTTGTCGTTGGCTGTATCGTCCTGGATCTTAGGAACCCAAGTCTGTCCATTCACTCACTTATTTATTTAGCTTGTATTTACTGAGCACGTGCTATGTGCTGGACACACTCTATTATGTGCCAAAGGATTAATAAACAAAATCAACAATTAGTCACTCGTGTGGAGTATTAAAATGTAAGTATGCTGGTTGGTGATAGCGGGGTACACCATTAATCCCATCTCCAGAGGCAGAGGCAGACGGATCTCTGTGAGTTCCAGGACAGCCTGGTCTGCACAGTGAGTTCCAGGACAGCTACGGCTACACAGAGAAACCCTGTCTTAAGGAAAACAAATCAAACCATGAGAGCACCAGTGAGCAGGGCAGGGAAGTGAGGGTGGTAGAGGCGTGGCTGCTTTCTTCAGTGCAGCTTTTCTTTTCAAAAGCAGGCGATAGGAAAGATATCAAAGGGGAGGTGATGTGGGATTCCCCTTGGTATGCTGTGATTACCATTGATTAACAAAGGGGTCTCTGATGTGGGATCCCCCTCGGTATGCTGTGATTACCATCGATGAACAAAGGAGCTCCTTTGGGCCTATAGCAGAGCTATAGAGGAACAGAGCCAGGCGGGGAAAACTAAGCTGAATGCTGGGAGAGAGAAGGCGGAGTCAGAGAGAAGCTACGTAACCCCTTCAGAGACAGATGCTGGAACCTTAGCTGGGAAGCCACAGCCACGCGGCGATGCACAGATTAATGGAGATGGGTTAAATTAATAGGTAAGAGTTAGCCAATTAAAAGTTACAGCTAATGGGCCAAGTGGTGATTTAATTAATACAGTTTCTGTGTAATTATTTCGGGACTAAGCGACTGGGAAGCAACAAGTGGCCTTCCTCCTACAGTCCTCTTACTGCTGAAAATGCCAGTAAAAATGAATTCAGTATAATCTGAAAGAAAGACACCTTTGCTCACTTCCAGTTTGTCCTTCCTTCCCTCTTTCCCTCCTTCCCTCTTTCCCTCCTTCCCTCCTTCCCTCCTTCCTTCCTTTCTCTCTCTCTCTCTCTCTCTCTCTCTCTCTCTCTCTCTCTCTCTTTTAAAGATAGGGTTTCTCTGTGTAGCTCTGACTGCTCTGGAACTCATACTGTAGACCACACTGGCCTCGAACTCACAGAGATCCACCTGCCTCTGCCTCCCGAGTGTACCCCTGGCCTTCCCCCCACTCTAGTTTGCATTTTCATTTATAATGTCTTTCCTGTTGTGTTTCCTCCTTTTCTTTAGTGAAAGACCGAATTTAGATCAGATCTATGCCAGTTTCTCTTATTTCAGGGTTACATGTTTAAACAGTGGTGAAGCTTGAGCTTACCCCAGTGTGGCGGGGTTACAGTTCCCCAGATCCTGAAACAAAACCCAGACTGGAGGTCAACTCAAATTTAGAAAGATTTCTGGGAATTGTTTTGTTAAACACAGGAGTCCAGTGACGATTACAGCCTTAAGTCATTGCTTTGAAAAGAAAATATTTACACAGAATAATTATGCCCTATGCTATTTATATCATTATAGTATACTGTATTTGTTTACCTATACATATGAAAGTGCTGTAGCAGAAACATATGGTTAATGTATACATTAATTAGTAGGTCTAAATGAAGTGGGTCATAAGCAGCAAGGAACAGTTGCCCGGTGAGAAAGTTTTCTAACTGGACCATTCCTGGTATTAGTCTTTTTCTGGCAGTGTGTCAGCTCACAGGCCACACATGGTTCAGAGGCTGCTATTGCTTTGTGCCGTTGTTGCCTTTGTGACTTTGTCTGATTGTTATTGTGTTACAGCCACCAACGAAGGGAGAAAAACAATTTCACAGCATTTTAAGGAGGGAGGGAGACAGACACTCCTTGAGTTTCATTGGATGGAGGAGGCTGCCACAGCATGGCTGGGTTAAAAACAAAAAAGGGACTCCAGGAGTTTAGGAACCTGTCTGTTGTATGAGCCGCAAGTTTAGTGACCCCTCTCTGCTTTGATCTGTTTACCGCTACGACAACAACGAAAATTCCTGTCACAGTATTCAGTCACATAGTGTATGTGCTGGCTTGGATGAGAATGGCTCCCATAGGCTCGTGTATTCGAGTGCTTGGTCCCCAGTTAGTGTTTAGGAAAGATTAGGAGGTATGGCCTTTTTCAGGAAGGCGTGTGTGTCACTGTGGGAGCTCCACCATTCCCAGTTATTTCTCCAGCTCCCCCTGTCTTGTTCTTGCTGATACGGATGTGAGCTCTCAGCTACCGCCCCAATGTCAACGCCACCCCTGCCTATCTGCCGCCATCTCCAGCATGATGGCCGCGCACTCACCCGCTGGGCCCTGTGAGCCCAATCAGCTCTCTCTTCTAAAGTTGTCTTTGTCATAGTGGCTTGTCACGCCAGTAAAAAAGACAGTGCGCTTTGACCCGGCATAGCAAACATTGGGAATTTTCCCTTTTCTCAAGAAAAGCAACCCAGGTGGTGGTGGCATGCTCCTTTAATCCCAGCACTCGGGAGGCAGAGACAGGAAGGTCTCTGTGAGTTCCAGGACAGGCTCCAAAGCTACTGAGAAACACTGTCTTGAAAAAAAGAAAGCAAAACACTAATATGCTTTTTAATTATGGGTCTTATGAATTTCCCTTTTGCAGTTTCCATGAAGGAAAATTAGTCAAGACAATCTTTTTTTTATATTTATTTATTCATTATGTATACAATATTCTGTCTGTGCATATGCCTGCATGCCAGAAGAGGGCACCAGACCCCATTACAGATGGTTGTGAGCCACCATGTGGTTGCTGGGAATTGAAATCAGGACCTTTGAAAGAGCAGGCAATGCTCTTAACCACTGAGCCATCTCTCCAGCCCCCCAAGACAATCTTGATCTAGCAAAACAAGCAAACAAACCTTACTTTCTTCAAGAAATGAAGAATCACTTCCCTCCTCTTCTGCATGCCTTTTCAGACTCTGGTGATTGGGAGAGAAAGTTTGTAAATCACTCATTCCTTTTCTGGTGTGTGTCATGTGGACGTGTTGTCTCCCCTCCACCCCCACCCCCGTGTCTGCATATGTGCATGTGTGGAGAGCAGAAGCTGACATTGGGTATCGACCTTAGTCAGTCTCCCCTTAGTTTTTACCTGTCCTTGAGCATGATTTGGGTAGGCTGACCGGGCAGTGAGCTTCAGAAATCCTTCTTTCTCCCATACAGTGCTGGGTTATAGACGTGCTGTGCCCGACTTTTGTGTGGATGGTGGAATCTGATCTTAGGATGCTCACTTCGCCAATGCAGTCATCTCCCCAAGCCTGTTTGCTTGTTTTCTCTTTCTTTCTTTCTTTCTTTCTTTCTTTCTTTCTTTCTTTCTTTCTTTCTT